AGGGAAGGACTCCCACATCCCATTCCCCAGTCCCTCCATATCCCATTCCTTAGGGAAGGACCCCCCACATGCCATTCCCCAGCCCCTCCATATCCCGTTCCTTAGGGAGGGACCCTCACATCCCATTCCCAGCCCCTCCACATCCCATTCCTTACGACTCCTACATCCCATTCCTCAGCACCTCCATATCCCATTCCTTAGGGAAGGATCCCCCACATCCCATTCCTTAGGACCCCCACATCCCATTCCCAGCCCCTACACATCCCATTCCTTAGGACTCCTACATCCCATTCCTCAGCACCTCCATATCCCATTCCTTAGGGAAGGATCCCCCACATCCCATTCCTTAGGACCCCCACATCCCATTCCCAGCCCCTCCACACCCCATTCCTCAGGCCCCCCCCCGGCCCACGCGGAGCACCCCGGCCCACGCCCGGCGCCCCTCACCAGAAGAACGTGTTGGTGCCGTCGTCGTACACCTCGGACTCGGTGCTGCGGCGGGGCCCGGCGCCGTCCCGCTCGGCCCCGGGGGCCCCGCGCCGCGCGGCCGCCAGGCGGCGCCCTGAGCAGGAGGCGCCGCCGCCGCTGAGGGAGGGAGGCCGGGCCCCTCAGGGCGGCCCGAGGGCGGGCATTGAACAAAAAAATCTCCGTTCCGCACGCCCTCAGCGCAACAAAAGTGTGCTTCGCCAGGCTGCCGCGCGGCCCTGGAGTACCCCATGTTGGGTACTCCATCCCCGATGCCGTGGCTGTCCCGATTCCCGCGTCTTTGTGCGATGAAATGTTAACTATCTGTGTTTTGCTTGGCAGCAGTTTTTGCTCCCACCCGGAGGGTCTGGCCAGGGCTGGGGGTGCTGGCAGAGCGCCCCTGTGCCCTTGGATGTGAAGAATTCTAAAATTCCTCAGCCCTTCCCAAATCACCTTGGTCAGGCTCCCCATCTGGGCTGTGCCACGCTGATCCCGGACGGCAGGCAGGGAGCTCCGGCTTTCTGGAAAGATCTTGGCATGGCAGCAAGCTCCAGCAACGTGTGGAGGGAAGGCAAAGTCCTGTGGGAGCAGAGAAATGAAACAGGGAAGGAAATTAGAGGAAACATTTACAGGATGGCAAATAATCAAGACGAGCTTTAAAGGTCCCTTCCCACCCAAAGCTATTCCATGTGTGAAAAGTGTGTATTATATGGCCTTAGGCAGATATTTACTGTATGTATTATGTTGTATTGATTAGTAGTGCTGTATTAACATTTTAATAGTGTGGTAAGTGTAGTTTTGTAGTTAAAATGTAACTTTTGTAGTTAAAATAGAAACTATGTATGTGGGATGGTTTTTTTTAGAGAAAGGAATGAGGTACCCAGATAGCAGCCACAAGACACCTAAATCTTTCAGAGAAAGAGAATTTATTGCTCCATTATCAAAAGAAACTAATTTCTTCCCACCTTGCTCAGCCCTGAAGACGCCGCTGTTAGGATTAAGAGGAAGAAGTCGACGATGACCAGACAGAATCCTTTGTTTGAATGGAATTTATACATCATGTATGAGATGTATGAATATGCAACAGGCTTTTGCTTTTAAGGGTTAATCCTCTGTTAAAATGTGTCCTTTTTTCGGGCTTATTTTGCCCAGAAAAGATACCCAGACTGTCAGTAACTCTTTGTTCTTATTGTCTCGTATTGTCCTAATTGTCCAAATTTTTATTACTCTAATTATACTACTATTTTTATAGCCATTTTATACTATTAAACTTTTAAAATTTTAAAATTTTTTTTTTGCGTTTTCCACACATGGTTCTATGAATTACACAGAACAGGGAGCAGGGTTAGATGGGACATTGGGAAGAAATCCTTCCCTGTGAGGGTGCTGAGGCCCTGGCACAGGGTGCCCAGGGAAGCTGTGGCTGCCCCATCCCTGGAAGTGTCCCAGGCCAGGCTGGACAAGGAACAACCTGGGACAGTGGAAGGTGTCAGGGACCATGGCAGGGCAGGCACTGGACAGGCTTTGATGTCCCTTCCAATCCCAAGCACTCCAGGATTCCGGGATTCTGTGGAATTACGGAGCTGGCCACAGGAGGGCAGGAGCGGGCTGGGCGAGGAGCAGGAGAGCACAGCGCTGGGACAGGTAAAGGACATTTCTGTGTGCGGCACAAGCCCCCTCCAGCCTAAAATACCCTCCTGCGCACCCCACGGTGCCTTATGAGAGCTGGAGGCACTCACCTTGTCCCAAGAGATGGCAGAATATCCCGAGCTGGAAGGGATCCATAAGGATCAGCCAGTCCAGCTCCTGCCCTGCCCAGACACCACAACAATCCCATTGTGTGCCTGAGAGCATTGCCGGCAGCCTTGGGGCCGTGACCACTCCCTGGGGAGCCTGCTCAGTGCCCCACCACCCTCTCGGGGAAAGAACCTTCTCCTGATATCCAGCCTAATCCTTCCCTGCTCGGAATGAGCACACAGTGCATTAATTACAAGCAGGCTTTCACCCCAAACCACACCCTGTGTTCTAATACTGAGTGCAGCTCCAAGGATACCCACACATCCAACAGACCAGGATTTGGGTGAAAACACCCCCAGCTTTATGAGAGAACACAGACATCTGCTGCCATTTCAGCACCATCCTGAATCAGTGCCTTTGCACCCTCAGAAGAGGGGGCTCCCTGTCCAAAAGCACTGCTGCCAGGCAGGGGGTGAACAGGCAGCCTCTATCCAGCCGCAGTGGTTTCACACACAAAAGGATATTTCACACACAGCAGGATATTGGGAAGATAACTCTTTTTTTTTCCCCCCAACAAAACACTTCAGCAGTCTCCTCAGGTGGGAATTACCATCTCCACATCCAGCCAGGACTAACAGCTTAGGGAGAGCTCCTGGAGCTTCCCTGCCAATGCTCAGTGCAGGTCAAATCGCTGTCCAAAGCGGCTGCAGTCCAGTGGGTTCAGGTGTGTGACCAACCCAGCAGCCACAGAGCTGATCACATCCCAAATAACTTCCTCTGCTCCCACAGGGTTCGTGTGGCTCCCTCCCCACTTTCAGCCTTTCCTGCTGCCATACTCAGCCCCAGACACCCGAGAGCAGCAGGAGAGGGAAGCACTGGAGTAGGGATAACATCAACTTGCTCACCTGCCTTGCTGCAAATGCAGCTAAATCCTGCCCAGGCAAACCCAAATTTCTCCCTAAACAGGAGCAGCAGCAGCATGGTCTTCTCCGAGTGCCATGAAAACTCCTGCAGGGGCTGGATATACCTCATCCAAAGCTGACCTGCAGGCACAGACTCGCCTTCCCCACCAGCTGTGACATCCATGGGCTTTGGGAACTGCTGCTGGGCACATGAACTCCTGCGCTGTCTGGAGAGCTGAGCCCTGTTCAGGAAGGAGAAGCAGGAGCATGGGAGGAGTGCCACAGCTGTTCCTCCCACAGATAACCCCGTTTCCCTGGAACACGGCAGCACTCCCATTGCAAAGGCCTTTGCCCCGCCGTCAGGTGGAAAGCACCGCCTGGCAGGGCTGCTTCACTCTCTCTGGGTAAACACACACATTCTCCCAGAGATAGAGCCTGTTCTCCGCTCCCAGGACATGGATCACCCCTGGAAGGCTAAAGGTCTGCCCACGCCTTGGTTTCACACACAGCAGGATATTGGGAAGATAACTCTTTTTTTTCCCCCAATAATCCCTAGGTCTGGTTTGGCACCTGTTCAAGGCACTTGACAAAGCCACAGGGTGATGGTGGCTTAACTGGGAGCACCACTCTGGAAATGCTGGCTGCCTTTCCTAGCAGAACACAGCTGGATTACCACCCCCAGGACTTGGTTTATTTTACAGCAGCCCACAGGAACGCTGTTGGAGGGCACAAGGGAATCCAGAGCAGTTATTGACCCTCCTGTTATTCCCAGGAAATGCTCTTCTTATTTCTCAATGAAAGCAACTCCCCACCCAAAAACAGGTGTAAGGCAAGATCTGGCTTACACATAACATTTTCACTCACTTTTTATAAAAAGAGTTATTCCCTGTTCCAAGCTATAGGTCCAGTTAGGAGTTGATTCTTTCCCTCTGCTCTGCTCAGGTGAGACCCTACCTGAACTTCTGCATCCAGCTCCAGGGTCACCAGCACAGGAAGGACATGGACCTGTTGGGAATAGTCCAGAGGGACACCAAGTTGATCAGAGGGATGGAGCAGCTCTGCCATGAGGAAAGGCTGAGAGGATTGGGATTGCTCAGCCTGGAGAACAGAAGGCTTTGGGGTAACCTGGTTGCCCCTTACAGTACCTGAAGGGAGCCTGCAAGGAAGCTGGAGAGAGGCTTTGGACAAGGGCCTGGAGTGAAAGGATTAGGAAGAATGGCTTCCCACTGCCAGAGGACAGGGTTAGATGGAATACTGGGAAGAAATTCTTCCCTGTGAGGGTGGTGAGGCCCTGGCACAGGTTGCCCAGAAAAGCTGTGGAAGTGTTCAAGGTCAGGCTGACAGCACCATTACACATGGGAAAAAAACAGCACACAACTCTCACAGCTGTTTTACCAACCAGTGAAGCGTCAAGAGGAGACTTCTAGAGCTTTCCAGAGCTTCTGCTAATAGCTCTTTTTGGCCAGTTTATGGCACCTCTTGGGGATGTCACAGGGCACCACACACAGCCCTGGCACCACGAGGGGCAGAGGGGAAAGCAGCGCCCTGGAGCTGGCAGGAGGAGCTCAGCACTGTTACCTGCACGGGGCGGTTCTGGGCTTGCCACTCCTCTGGGCGAGGGTGAAGGGCAGCTCCCTCACCTCCTCCTGATATCTGCCCACTGCTAGGCAGAGGCAGCTCCCTCCCAGGGCAGGCACGAGTGCCACACGGAAGTCACAGCACCACTTGGTTCACATGAGACCTCCGAGACCTCGGGCGAAGGAGCTGGGGAAGGAAACCAGAGCGTGAGAGAGCCCAGGAGCCTCCAGCCCACCCTGCACACCAGCGCTCTCCTTAGGAATCTGCCCCGAGGGGCTCCTGGAGAAAGAGGCACTGAGGAAGGCTCTCCGCTTCACCATGCAGGTAGGAGCAGAAACTGCCCCGATATTCCCAGGATGCTGCTTTTCAGCACCTGTGCCTTGGGAACACGGGATACACTAACCTCCAATCTCTACCACTCACCTGCTTTCAGCCGTTAAGGTACAAAATTCCTACCACAAGTGTGTGACAGGGAAAGCAGGACGTGGTGCACCATCCCAGGGTGCAGTGGGGTCACACTGGCCCCACATGTTTGTCCCGGAGTTCAAAGGTGCCAGAGCACAGATCAGGGAAGGATGGTATGGATGGAGCTTATGTAAACCTAGGAATGAGCACTGCAGAGGTGACAGCCCCAGGCGTTCCAGCAGCACCTGGAATACAGCAAGGGCAGAGGGGGAGCTGTGATCTTTTTCTTCTCTAATTTGGAAGAAAAGATGCAGGATTTTTTCCTGGGAAAAGCCAGACAAACTCTCCAAAGTCAGGGCAGGTAGTAAAGGTAGAGATCTGTCTGTGCAAGCAAAGGCTGTCCCACTTCTCAGCAAGCCATGGCTAAGGTGGAAGTGCTCCAAGGGAAGCTGCGTAAGAAACATCCTGGAGATAAGACCAATTTGATCACCTCAGTGTGGGTGATAGGAACCACCCAATCCCACACCAATCCATGACTGGAAAACAAGGATGCCAGATCCTCTCCAGGTCCTTGTCCTGAGTTACTCACACGGGTGACTCTGCACACAGCCCAAGGGTGCCTGTGGCCATTTCCCAGAAGGAACTCTCAGGGCAGTGGGTTACCTGGCTGGGGACAAGGACCAGTGGTACACCTTGGAGGCACAGAAGCCCTTTTCAAACATGGAAATATGGAAATTCCTGCTTCCCATTGTGCCACTTTTACACCTTTGCACAGCGGCACCTCCACATCCTGTTCCAACCACGGGGCAGGAAGGAGTGAAACTGAAACTGTCCTTCCCGAGAGCAGGGACAGAGCCCAGGGTTCCCACAACCACTGCAGGGCCCAGGTGGCCTTACCTGCACCTGATCCCACTGCCCTGCAAGGCCAGAGCACAGCAGCCACTGTCAGACAGCATCCCTAATTCCCAGGAAAAAACAATTAGTTGTGAGAGTAGCAGTGATCCAAAGTCCCTGCCCTCTGAGGCTATCCCTGCCCACACATCCCTGCCTTCCCATCAGGAACTGCAGCAGCAGGACAAGGGGGGTGGCTTCAAACTGCCAGAAGGCAGGATTAGGTGGGATATGGGGAAGAAATCCTTCCCTAGGAGGGTGGTGGGGCCCTGGAATGGATTTCCCAGAGAAGCCATGGCTTCTCATCCCTGGAAGCCTCCAAAAGCCAGGCTGGAAAGGCTTGGAGCAATCTGGACCAGTGAAAGGTGTCCACATCCATGGCAGAAGGTGGAACTGGACAGGCTTTAAGGTCCCTTCCACCCACACTACTCTGGGATTCTATACACACCCCATATGGCCCCAAAAGGAAGCTGGGCACCTGCATGGGAGCCTGAGCCCCAGCAGCCACCGGGATGAATCCAACATCCTGTTTGTGAGCCCACCTTGGCAACCTCTCAGCCTCTTCCCAAGGAAGTGGATGGGCTGGCTGGGATGCTTGGATGCCCAAGCAGGACCATCCCTACAGGTGTTGGAGTTGGGAGCCACCTGGGAACAGAAGGTGTGATGCCAGCAGGTCCCTTTACCTCATCTTAAGCTTTACTGGGGACAACAGCAGCAGGAAAAGTGTGCCAAGGTGGCATCAGGAACACCCCAAAACGCTCCCATACCCAAAGGATGGCTTCCCCTCCACATCCATCTGCAAGATCACAGGTGGCACTGGCAGAGAATTGCTGCAGGATGAGGCTGGTGCACATGGAGGCTGGGAGAAACCAGCCAGGCAGGAATGAGCCAACAGAACAGCAGAGTGTTCCAGCCCAGATCCACGCCAGCATCAGAGCACTGGCAGTGGGCAGATCCCTCAGAGGCTCCCACCCCCTCCCCTGTGCCCAGAGAGGCGCTCACACTGGGATACAGGGAACTGCTGCACCCAGTCCTCCCCCCAAACCTGGCTAGAGCAGATGACAGCACCAGAACCCTCCCCCTGCCTCTTGCTATCAACTGGGGTACCTTTTATCTAAGAGAAGTTCTGGCTCTTGTTACAACAGCACCTCAGGGGAAGAGCATCCCTCTTCTCAAGCCTTCCTGCATCTCATTCTTGTCAGTCAGTCTCCTCATGGCTCTTGTGCTCTGGCTGATCCACGTGAGCGAGCATCTGGCAGAATATCTCAGCCTTTCCTCATCCTGGCCTCTCTGCTCCTATGGCCTCATTCTCCAGTGAAAGCTCGGGATGCAGATCTTACATCAAGGCACAGTTGCACCACCATGGCTCTGCTGCCAAGATTACAGCTGGAGGAACTCGTCTGGCTGGCTGCTCTTTTAGGTCACAGTGTCTCTGGTGACCCAAGTGACAGTATTCCCATCCCTGGGAATTCCCATTCCCCTTCCCGCTGCTGTGCTGCGTCACCTTCCCTCGGGAACAGCGGCATAACTGTGGGGACACACCACAAATCACACCAAAGGGTGGGAAAAAGCCCCACGGGGCAGCTGATGGCTTCAGCTGAAGGAGAGCAGGGTTAGATGGGATACCGGGAAGAAAGTGGGAAAAAACCCCACGGGGCAGCTGATGGCTTCAGCTGAAGGAGAGCAGGGTTAGATGGGATACTGGGAAGAATTTCTTCCCTGTGGGAGTGCTGAGGCCCTGGCACAGGGTGCACAGGGAAGCTGTGGCTGCCTCATCCCTGGAAGTGTCCAAGACCAGACTGGAGCAACCTGGTCTAGTGGAAGGTGTCCCTGGGAGGACTGGATGGGCATGAAGGTCCTTTCCAACACAAACCATTCCATGATGCTTGCTTTGTGCTCCCCCACATCTGCACCCTTGGATGTCTGAGTGTAACCAGCTGCTCTCTCCAGAGCCACTGACACACAGGTGCTTTGTGCTCCCCCACATCTGCACCCTTGGATGTCTGAGTGTAATTACCTGTAACCAGCTGTGCTCTCCAGAGCCATTGACACACAGAAGGGGAGCAGGCAAAAGCCAGAGTTCAAGCAGTGTTTGGACAACATGGATTCTTGGGGTGGTCCTGTGCATGACCAGGAGCTGGACTCAATTATCCTTGTGAGTCCCTTCCAACTTGGGATATTCTATGATTTTATGACCAGCAGTTCATTCTCCCCTCTCTGTCCCTTGGCTGCAGCCTGAGGCATCCAGCATGTTTTCCAAGGAATTTTTTTCACCTGCTTTCCTGCAGGGTTGTGCCAGCCTCCAAATGTCTGTGCTCCACTCTCCCTTTACTGGAATTTAAAACTACTTCCCCACCCTCCCCAAAAAGCCAACAGTGCCCTATCTGACAGGAACAGCTGATGAATAGAAAAGGCTGATTAAAGTCTGTAAATCCACTGTAGCATGAAGAGAGAGGGTGAAAGGTAAACATTTCTCCAGTACAAATGTCAGAGCATCAGGTGAAAGAGCTGAGGGAGGGTTTTTCTCCTGGTCCAGATCCCTCACAGCCCCAAGGCACAGTTGGGCACGATGAGTTCTAGGGGAGGCTGCACACCCTCCCAAGGCAGCAATCCCTGCAGCATTCCTAAACACAAATCCCCGGCTGGCTTGGCAAGACCCCAAACTAGTGATCAGGAGCATGTGGGAGAAGGTTTCCCAAAGCCCGCTCTTACTTTCCTCCCTGGGCATCTCTTGGAGGCTGCTGGAAAAGGAAAATACGGGCTTCTCCCAGGCAGCCTGCTGAAGCCTTCCCTTCACTGGTTTTCTTTTCACCAGGATGAAATTCTGCTGACTCCCTGCAGGGAATTTCCTGCTGAGGACACGGACTCCTTTGCCTCCCCGGTAAGCTCTGCTCCCTCTGCATCTGCAGCAAGTCCAGCCCAGCTCAAAGAGGGGACAAAACCCCATTTCCCTTGCTCATTCCCAGTTCCCCTTTACACAGCCACAATGGGGGTCCAAACCTCCAAGAGGCTGGAGCTGAGAAGGAGAGCTCTCAGCTTTCCATCCCTCATAATTTCCTGTTGGTTTTGCGGGCAGAATGAAGAGAAGTGGGATTTTGTCCTGGTGAGTGACATCCACGAAATGGGCAGTGAGAAGGAGATCAAGAGGAAGAAGTTCCTGGATGAGCTGAGCAAGAAGGGCTTCACCATCAAGGTGAGGGGCTGTGGGAGGAAAAGGCAGCAGATGCTTGGCCTGACTTGGGCTCCTGCATCCCAGGAAATGGGAGAGGCCAAACCATTGAGCTGTTCACTACATCAGAGCTGGAAAATGACCCACTTGCTCAACCAGCAGAGAAAGACCCCAGCCCCAGGACTCACACAACCCCCAACCCTTCCAGCTAAGGCCCTTCCCTGCCTCTCTGGCTCTGTTTTAACAGCTCTTCTCTTCCCCCCACCAGAAAATTGAGGACACAAAGCTCTTTTATGGAGTCCGTGCCCCACAGCACATCTTCTGGAAATACCAGTGTCTCCTGACAAACCCCAACAGCAGGCAGCAAAACTTCAGTGCCTACCAGGATGTCCCAGTGACCACCAGGTGGGTGCTGATTTCCAGCCTCCTGCACTCACTGTTCTCCACACCAGCATCCATTTTCCAGCTCAGTTCACAGCTGTGCCAGCCTTTTCACTTTCCACAGAACCTTCCTTCACCTCCCATGTGCAAAACTGATGGCTTCTCACTGCCCACATTTCTCCCTCCCTTGCTTCCCTGGATTTTAGTGCACACCTGTGCCCTTCTGTGCCACAAGTCTGTATCCCAGAGCAGCCTTTAAGCAGAGTTTCTCCTTGTTCAGGATACGGGTGGTGCACTTCATCCTCCAGAACACTGTGACGTCTGACTTAGGTAAGGGATTGGGGATCACAGGGGTGATGCTCAACCTGGATCTGCAGGAAGAATCCTGCTCAAGAATCCTGGGCACTGGCACCCCAGTTGCCCTGACACCCTAGGGAGAACAGAAAAGGGAGGAGAAGTCAGACAAGTCAATTTGCTGCTGCATCCAGTGGCTGGGAGATATGGGGGAAGAATCCTGCTCAAGAATCCTGGGCACTGGCACCCCAGTTGCCCTGACACCCTGGGGACAACACAAGACGGGGAAGCTCAGACAAGTCAATTTGCTGCTGCATCTAGAGGCTGGGAGATTTGGAGTGCAGGAACCAGCAGTTCCTCTGCTCTGTCTCCCCAAAACCCTAAGCCTAACCCTGTCCCTTCTGCTCCGCTCTCAGAGAAGCTGCATGACCTGATGAAGAAGAAGGTGTTTGAGGCAGCCTTTCCCCTGCACAAGGTGAGGCTGAGCACACAGTGCCTGGGAGGAAAATCCAGGAGGGATGGAGGAGTAGGATGGGGTGGGGGGGACCTGGGAGTGACTGGGGCTACACCAGGAGCTGGATGGGTGAAGGGCAAAGCTCCTGGCAGCTGCCCTGCAGCTGGGCAGGGCACTAAGGGTGCCCTGATGTTCCTGCATCAACCAACTTCTCTGCTCTCCAGAAAGAAGAGATAAGGGAAATACTAAAGAAGAAGTGGGCTCGCTGGAGAGTTCTATTTAAGGAACAGCCAATTGAGGAGATCAGGTAACACAGGCACAAGAGGCAGATATTTCTAACCAAGAGGTCCCACCTGAAACCCAGAGAGCCCAATGCCTTTTGCCAGGCTTCTGCATTGTCTTAAAAATCATTAGTTTGAACCTGGCTCTTCTCACAAGTACTGGGCTGCCTCTGCAGCTTCCAAAGCTCTTAGCCTGAGGGTTATCCCTGTGGCTCTGAGCTCCATCTGCTAATCCTGCAGCATGAAACAACCCCCTGTCCATGAGGATTGTAATGAACCTGTTTGGTTTTCAGCCACATTCAGAAGGCAGAAGAGGTGGGAATGGAGCATCAGCGCTCACAGCCAGCCCGAGGCTGAACTCGGGGCAGTAAAGGCAACATGGGGCTCCTACAACCACATGAGATCCCAGGAAAGAGCACGGCTCTTGTTTTTGAAAACTAACTCCATGGGCAGGGGCAGGAGGGCAAAAAGAATGTGTTACTTTATAAACCTGCCAGGGGGCTCAGGTAGAGAGGGGAGATCTTAAAATAGAGGTGCACCTCTGACAGCTGTCACAGGACACAGGGCTCCCAGTCCCTCAGTCATGTCTTATCCATGATTCCAACGTGCTCCTCACACCATAAAAACTGAGATACTGCCACCATGGGCATTTTCTAGTGACTCCCAAAATCTGATCTCCTTGCTGGCTGCAATTCCCACCTCACCTTTCCTCCTAGGTGCTATTTTGGAGAGAAGGTGGCCTTGTACTTTGCCTGGCTGGGCTGGTACACCTACCTGCTGATTTTCGCTGCCCTGGCCGGGCTGGCAACCGTCGCAGCTGGGGCTACTGTTTTCAGTTCCAGCCAGGTGAGGTAAGGCCCTTGGGAATGCCAAATGCACATCCCATCCAGCTCTGCAGATGGCTCTGAGGAACTCTTGTCCCCCTTGGTTTCTCTTCTCCTTTCTTCCAGCAAGGAGATCTGTGATGCCAACAACACAATCATGTGCCCGCTCTGCGACCAGAACTGCTCGTTCTGGGTCCTCTCTGACACCTGCACCTATGCCAAGGTAGGGAACTCCCTTTCCAGGGCAGGCTCAAGGTAAAGGAGGGGGAAACCCTCCCAGCTCATGCTGCTCCCACACCACTAAAAAGAAGCCCCACCCCAGGTCACAGTCTCCATCATCACCATGGAATATTTTACCAGTAGCAAACGCCAGTGTCCATCACCTACCTGCATTTTGCCCTCCTGTAGCACCTTTACCTGTCTCAGGGGAGATGAGCATGCCAAGACCCCAAGGTACCACAGCCCCTGCACCTCAGTGCCCCATCACACTCTTCCTTCATCTCTTCCAGGTCACTCACATGATTGATAACGAGGCCACGGTGGTGTTTGCCATATTCATGGCCATCTGGGGTAGGTGTCCATGCTTGGGTGCCTACCACATGTGGCTGGGAGAGGGAGCAGAAGGTGGAAAAAGGAACACCAACATAGCTTCACCCTTTGGGAGGGGTTTAGATCTCCTCCACTTCCAGAGCCTTCAGCTCCCCTTCCAGACACAGCAAAAGATAAAACCACCCCGGTGATATCCTCCAGCTCCCCAAATATTCCTTACCTGAAGCTTGTCCTACCTGAACCTTCTGGTCAGCATAACCTCCCAAAAGGCACCCAGCAATTTTCTAGCAGCTGCCTACAAATGGCCACAACCACAGGAAGGAGGGGCCTCCAGACTCCACCTCCACCTTCCCACATCACTGCAGGGGCTCGTGTTTGCTGTGGAACGATGGGATCCCATCACTGCCTTAGTTACACGCTCACCTGGCTTTTCCACAGCCTCTTCCCTCACCAGCCACCTCAGGAGTGGGCTGGGTGTCCCATCCATGAAGCCATGGTCCTGAGTGCATCCATGGGCTGGTCACACAGGGACACAATCAGGAGCGTCCATCCAATTAACATAAGGGGTAGTTGGAACTGGAGTTGGAGAGGTGTAGCCTTGCCAGGGTGCAGTGCAGGACATGAATTCCACCTGAAAAGTGACTTATCCCAAATTCCCTACGGACACACTAGACCAGGCCAGTGAAAGCTCACCTGCACCATCCCTGTTCCCTCACTGCTACCTGTCCAGGGCCCTTCCAGGTCACCAAGGTGCAGAGGGGACTGCCTGTCCATGGGCCAAGGGCAGTCCAGGCTGGTTTGCCATCAGGTTGGATGTGATGTGACTCTCTGGGAGACAGAGGGGGGACATTCAGAGCCATCCCTAAGTGTCACTGCACTTTCTCCTTCCCAATCCAGCCACTGTATTCCTGGAGCTGTGGAAGAGGGAGAGAGCCAATGTGGCCACCAGCTGGGACCTGTACGGGTGGGATGAGGAAGAGGTGAGGACACCATCTTTCATGCTCAGTGCTTCCCCTTTCAGGGCAGGAGTCACCTGGGTCTATAAAAGACACATCAGAGGGGTCCCTTGCCCAGACTGAACTCAATCAGGCTTGGCCATGCTCTTGTGGGTTGGGTGCTCACTCCTGTCCTTTCCTTCTCCAGCACTGCTCATCCCGTATGTCCATTGACACAAGGGGCACAAAGTGCTGCTGGGTCCTTTCTTTCCCATTTTTAACTTTTATATATATATTTATATATTTTTAAGGAGGAGTTGGCTCTGCAGCTGATCAATAACTCTCAGCATGAACCCCGGCTGTACCAGCACTCCTACTTCCGCAGCACCATCGTCCTCATCTTGGCCCTGCTGATGGTACGTGTGGGTGACAATGGGAACGTTTGGTTTAAGGGCACATGGACCAAAGGAGCAAAGGCACAGATCAGGTTTTTAAGGCAGTTCCATGCCCATCACATGGATCCTGGGGCTTCCTCATGCTCACACCTCACTCTGCTGATGGCAGGGGCCACCCACCCTTCGGGGACATGGGCTGAAGGCTCTGCTCTTGCAGTGAGGATCAAGGCAGTGACATGGAGAGCAGGAAGAGGCAAACCCCAATGCAGTTGTCCCTGCAGTGGGTCATTGGAGACTGGTTCAGGTGGAGACATAGAATCCTGGAATCACAGAATGTTGAGGGTTGGAAGGGACCTTATCTAGTCCCAAGCCCCACGCCATGGGCTGGGACACCTCCCACTACTCCAGGTTGTTCAAGGCCTTGTCCCATCTGGCCTTGAACACTGCCAGCATTGGGGCATTTGAAACATCCCTGGGGAGCCTGATCCACTACCTACCCACCCTTACAGGGAAGAATTTCTTCCTAACATCCAGCCTAAATTTCCCCTCCTTCAGTTTGTACTCATTACTCCCTCTCCCATCACTACACCCACGAACTTCTCAGCCTCCACCGAAGGGCACTGGTTGGCCTCTGAGGCCACCTCCAGGGCCCTCCTGAGGGCACCATCAGGTATGATGGAGCACGTGCCCCTGGTGGCTCCCGACCCCTCCTGTCCCTCCCCACAGATCATGGTGCTGATCGGCATCGCCCACGCGCTCGTCATCTACCGGGCGGTGGCCATGGCCCTGTTCACGCAGAGCGACGTGAGCCTGCTCAGCAAGCACGCCGACATCATCGCCGTCATGACGGGGGCCGTGCTGCACTACCTCACCATCGTCATCATGACCAAGGTGAGGAGACACACGGCGTGCCTGGCAGGATTTCCCCACGGCCAGCCCGCCCTGCTCATCGTGTCCCTCTGTCCTGCAGGTCAACTGGCACGTGGCCCTCTTCCTGTGCGACCTGGGTAAGGGAGATGGGCTGTGTCCCACCTGCAGCGCCCTTTTGTCCCGGAGCACAGCCAGCCTCCCATCCCCTTCCCTCCCTCCACCAGCACAAGGCAGGTCCCAGGCAGCTCCAGACAGGGGGGCCAACAGCCCCCCAGCACACACTCACCTGTGGCCCCCATGCTGTCCCACAGCCAGCTTTGCAGGGACAGTCACCATACAGGGCTTGAGACCTGGCATGAGCAGGAAGCCAACCCCAGCTCCAGGAGAGGTCACAACATGGATTTCCTCTGAGCTCTAAGGCCCCTTCTCCCTCAGCTCATGGCTCTGAGGGACCTCCCTATTGTCTGAACTTACTTCCCTCAGAGGGCTCAGGTGGAGAGCAGGGAAGGCTTAATGAGTGGCAGATGCCCTTTGGACCTTCAGAGCTGTGGTGGCACCCACGGGGGAGCAGAGCAAGGTCCCACTACTCTGACCAAGCCCCTGGGCATTGCTCCCTTTCCTAGAGAAACCACGGACCTTCTCCCAGCGGGAGAACAACTTCACTGTGAAGATCTTCCTCTTTCAGTTCTTCACAAACTTCTCCTCGCTCATCTACATCGCCTTCTTCCTGGGACGGTGAGTGGAGAACACAGGGCAGCCAGGGTTTGGGACGGGTGTTCCTGGCTCTCCCCAGGGTGTACGGACAGCCCAGCCCCTCTGCCAGGCAGACCAGGCACAGGGACCCCAGCTGGGACTCAGGAGGGCCATGACCCCATGGGTATCACTGTTGCTTCCTTGCTCAGGATCAATGGCCACCCAGGGCACTACGTGCGCATCGCTGGCCACTGGAGGCTGGAGGAGGTGAGGCACCCACTGACCCCACAAACAGCTCCTCCTCTTCCTTTCCCTACTGCCCAGGGAGCCTCTGGGAAGCTCAGCTTTCTCCCATAGCACCTGCCAAAGGGTCCCTTGGGCCCACCCACCCTGCTTGCAGGGCACTACCCCTGTCTTGTTGTCCCCTCCAGTGCCACCCTAGCGGCTGCATCACTGACCTCTTCATCCAGATGGCTGTCATCATGGTGCTCAAGCAGACCATCAGCAACATCATGGAGTATCTCATCCCGTAAGCTTCCCACACTGACACTTTCCACAGAGAGGAACCCTGGTCTTCTTCCTTTTCCCCTTCCTCCAGGGATGTGCTGGCAGCAGCCCAGCCCAGCTGTCCTCTGCAGGCAGCCACACAAATCCCTCTCTCCCACTGCAGTTTGATATCCCACCAGCTACGGAAGAAGAAAAAGCACCCCAAGAAGAGAAGTCTGATGTTAGGAGAGGAGGAGGAGGCAGAGGACCCCTGCAAAAGGCAGTGGCTGAATAACTATGAACTCAACGAGGTCAACGTCTTCAGCTTGTTCAACGAGTACCTGGAGATAGGTATGTGGAACAGATCCATGTGTGCTCCTTGGCTGGGGAGTGATGGATGCTATGGAGTCCATACACAGCACCACACCCAGCCCCACTCTGAGAGCCCTGGGACACCAGGATCATTCCCACAACAGACAGCAAGCAACTGTGCTAGCTTTGGGCCCTGCCTCAGACCTTCCTCTCCTTCCAGGGCCACAGCTGTAACCCCAGGGTGTGCCTGTGGCTGGCTGGCTCAACTGTCCCCACAGATCCCACCCCCTGACAGCCCTGTGAGAGCGGGTGTCCCCAGGATGTGGCTATCTCCTCTTCCACCCCTGCAAACCCCTCTGACCCAAGCTACCAAGCAGGACAAACCCAAGCTGAGGGAGATGTCCCCTCTGCGGTGGCTTCACACCAGCACTCTGCATTTGCCCCTCCACAGTGATCCAGTACAGCTTCACCACCATCTTCGTGGCAGCCTTTCCCCTGGCCCCGCTGCTGGCCCTCATCAACAACGTCATCGAGATCCACATGGATGCCATCAAGATGATGCGGCTGCGCCGGCGCATGGTGCCCAGGAAGGCCAAGGACATCGGTGAGAGGGGTCCTGCCAGCACCAGGCTGAGCCCCTGAGCCCCCCTGGCTTTGGCACAGCACAGGGAGAGCCATAAGTTGGAGAAGGACAAGCTGCTTCAGAGTCTGCCAGAGGCTGAAGCTCAGCTTGGAGGCTCCTTCCTTGATCTGGCCATGCTAAAGCTGTCCCTGAGCTGGCATGGTGGCAGTAGGCTGGCAGAGGGACCTCACAGGCTGCTCCTCTCCCACAGGGATCTGGCTGCAGGTGCTAGAGGCCATTGGCATCCTGGCTGTCATTGGGAACGGGCTGGTGATCGCCATCACCTCCGACTTCATCCCCGTGCAGGTCTACAAGTACATGTACAGCCCCTGCATGAGGGAGAACCACACCAGCATGGAGTGAGTTCAGTTCTGAGACAGTCCCTGCCCACAGCATCCCCACGGCCCTGTCCCCACAGCCGTGTCCCCTCCTACCTCAGTGCCACCGATGCAGGAGCACAAGACAGCTGAGCTGTCCCCCAAAGCAAAGTGGGGCGGAAAGGGGAGCAGGGGAACATCCCCACATAGCATCATCACATCATCCCTGTGAAAGGAAAGGGCTGTGTGTAACACTGGAGAGCTACAGGATTCCCAGGATGCAGGCACATGCTCTCTCCTGTCCTCCCTCTGTTTCTCCAATCCTTGGCTGACTGACCCAGTTCACTCAAACTGGACAGAAGCCTCTGAGCCCTCCATTTCCACCAGGCTTTGTGATGGTGGGCAGTGAGAGCCCCAGGTGGGTTCTGCTTCCCCAGAACAGGGGGTACAATCCGTGCTCAACCCAGTCCTTCCCCACAGCTGCTCCACCGGCTACATCAACAACAGCCTCTCCGTATTCCACATCCAGGACTTCGAGCCCCACACCAAGGTGCTGCCAGAATTTAAAGGGAAGCAGATCAAGGAGTGCAGGTAAGAGCAGCCCCCTGCCACCCCCTGTCCCTCACCGTGACATCCAGGCCAGAATGGAACGGCCTGGGCTGGCACGGACAGAGCTGTGCCACAGGTACCGGGATTACCGGAATGCTGACGACTACACCTACACCGTCCAGTTCTGGCACATCTTCGCAGCCCGGCTCGCCTTCCTCATCCTCTTCGAGGTGGGCACCCAGGGAGGCAGGAGAGGGCTGGGAAAGGGGTTGGATGTGTGCCTCGTGCCCGGGCTGGGAGCCCCTGACTGCCTTTGCTTCCCACAGCACGTGGCTCTGTGCGTGAAGCTGATCGCAGCCTGGTACATCCCCGATGTCCCCCAGAAGGTCAAGAATAAAATTCTGACAGAAAAACACAGCAATCTCCGCAATGAGCTGAGGTGGGTGATGCCCTGGAAGGTGCCAGGGGTTGCCAGGTTTCAGGATCTGTCTGCTCTGGAGCCCCTCTTCCTTCAGAAAAAGAAAAGCTTCAAGTTAAAACAAGAAGCAATTTTGCCCAGGGAAGGACTTGGTCCAGGTTTTCCATCTCAACTTTGTTTAAAGAGAAAGGATTAAGTATTTCAGTAGGAAACAGAACCATTGTAGCTGCCCCAGTGCTGCTGTCCCATAATAAGCCCTGCTCTGGGAAGGGCTCAGCCTGACCCCTCTCCATGGCCACCCTGTCCCAGCTGCTGCCCATAATCCCAATGGGAGCAGATAGCGGGGTTCAGGAAACCCTGTGTCTTGGTTTGGAAAGACAGGTGTCTGCTAAGGAAGGCAGGAGCCTTCCTTGAAATGGAAAATGTCAAGCCCCTCCCTCCAACTATAATTTTGAAATTAAGGGGCTCTCAGGCAAAGACATGGGAATAGGAATAATAGTTCTTTACTAGAAAAACTAAAAATACAAATGTCATAGTATAAAAAAAGAAAACAAACCCCTGACAGAGTCAGAATACAACCTGACACCCTGTTGGTCAGGGTGTTGGCAGCAGTCCCATTAAATGGTGGCTGCAGCCCTCCTGCAGTGCCAGCTGTGCTTCTGGGGGAGCAGGGATCCTGGAGAAGGGTGGAGTTTTCCTTTGAAGCTCCAGGGGTGCTGTAGATGGGCCTGGTCTTCCTCTGAAGATCCAGTGGAGAAAAAAAGCTGCTCCTCTGGAAATCCAGTGGGAAAGGCTGCTGCGGTGTTCCAAATCTCTGATTATATCCAGGTAGGAATGCTTGGCTCCTCCCCCTGGGCAGAGCATCTCCCAATGGATGATGCAATTTTATCAGCCATGCAGTGACACTCACTGGCCCATTAACAGAAGATAGTTCCCAGAGGGAGGATTGGTTGTGGAAGAGATAAAACTGCCCAATGAACAGAGGATAACTGCCCCACCTCTAACATATGGCAGATAGAATACACTCCCCCACTAACATCTTTCAACCTAAGACAGCCTGTCCTGGTTTGACACTAGCCAAACTCCAGGCACCCACGAAAGCCACTCACTTGCCCTCCCCTGCCACAGCTGGATAGAGGAGAGAAAAAATTAGCAAAGAATTCATGAGTTGAGATAAGGACTGGGAGAAAACACTCCAAGGGCAAAACAAGCTCAACTTAGAACTACAAAGTGAATTTATCACTAACAAACTCAGAGGAGGATAATGAGCAGTAGAATAAGCCCTTAAAACACCTTTGCTTCCCCCAACCCTTCCCTCCTTCCCACCGACAGTTCAGGGGACAGGGCATGGAGGTTTTGGTCAGTTCATCACCCGAGGTTTTCTTCCACTGCTCAGGGAGAGGAGTCCTTCCTCTGCTACACCATGGGGTCTCTTCCCACAGGAGAGAGTTCTCTGCAACCCTCTCCACCACGGCTCCAATCTCACAAGCAGGAATCCTCCCAAAACTGCTGCAATGTGACTCCCTCCCATGGGCACACAGTCCTCCTAAAGCTGCTGCGGTGTGGGTCACTTTTCCATGGGGTGCCATCCTCCAAGGACAGGCTGCTCCCGCCTGGAAGCAGGGCCCCCTCTCTCCACCAGGTCTCCCACTGGATCACAGTCTCCTCCAGGCATCCATCTGCTCATCTCCCCCATGGGCTGCGGGTGGATCTCTGCATCCCCCGTGGATCCCCATGGGCTGTAGATGGATCCCTGCATCCCCCATGGATCCCCATGGGCTGTAGATAGATCCCTGCATCCCCCATGGATCCCCATGGGCTGCAGGGACACAGCTGCTTCAGCATGGTCTCACCACAGTCTGCACAGGAATTTCAGCTCCAGCACCTGGAGCAGCTCTTCCTCCTTCTTCTGCACTGGCCTTGGTGTCTGCATCTTGTTTCCCTCACACGTTCTCCCCTCCTCCTCTTCTCTGCCTTGCAAAAAAACCTGTGCCCCTTTTTGTTTTGATTTTCTTCTTAAATATGTTATCAACATCTCCATCTCTGATTGTCCCAGTCTTGGCCAGCAGCATGTCCATCTTCAGAGCCATCAGGGATTGGCTCTGCCAGACAGGGTGGAAGCTTCCAGCAGCTTCATTTCTGCCTTCCTACTGACTGGGATTTCCCACAAACAGGGTTTTCCCACAAACAGCTTGCCATTCTTTCTCCATCTGTTTTGGGGAAGAGGCCCTGTTCCTGCTCAGAGTGTTTTTCCACACCTCCCAGCACAGACAGTTCACCTCCCAACGCCTCTCTCCTCTCTCCCCAGCACGGCAGAATACTCCACCGAGGTGTAGCCACAGCTCACCAAGGAGAAGGAGAACACGGACTCGAGCCCCTTTCCCAGCCTGGCAGTGCCAGGGGTGCCAGATGAACCCCAGGACACGGTGCCACATGTCCCATCTGGGACCAAGCTGGACCTGAGCTGGGAAGCGATGACCAGACAGTGGCTTCACAGGAGCAGGCTGCTTTCCGACTTGGGAAGGAAGGATGCTGTGGCAGAGCCTGGATGTGCCTCCCCACGCTGGGGATGTGCTGGGACAGAGCCGTGGCGCTGGGGACAAACCCAGGGCAGCATTCAGATGCAGGATCACCTGGATCCTTGTCACTCACTTCCTTAAGCACAGGAAACACCACTTACCTCGTTCCAGGCTCCCTCTCCAGCCCTTTTGTTGCACTTTGGCCTCTTTTTCCACTGCCTTCAGTGACCTCCACTCTCGCACTGGGGCACTTGAGTCCCTTTCAGCAAACTCCTCCCCAGCACGGCTCCCCAAGGCTGCAGCTCCACCCTGCTGTCTGCAGGACGCGGCTCCCCGCTCCTTGGGAAAACGCCGCTGTTATCTCGCGTTTAGCTCCGGGCTCAGCCCGGTCCTGAGAGCTGCTCCCGGCTCAGCTGCCACCAGCCATCGGTAAATAAACACAACACCCACGTGGACAACTGCCTGGTATTGCTCCTGCCTTCCCCCTCTGCCATCCCCAGTCATCCCCCAAAACCCTTCCTTGTCTTAGTGGGGACAATCACAGCAGGTGGCAGCTGCGGTGCCCACTCTGAGGGCTGTGTGGGAGCTGGCTGGTGGGACACCAGGATTTGGCCATGCACAGTGGGAACACACCCTGGTAAACGTGCCAGGACAATGGAAATACCTGGGGGAAGTGGGAAAAATGCAGCAAATCCCAAATGATAGGGTTATCCCACATTTTCCTTTAGAGACATCACTACTGGCTGGCCCACCTACTCCAGACAGAACGAGTTTGTCTGCAGCAGGGATGGGGTGACACCCCAGGACTGGACAGGTGCCACAGCTCAGGGGGCTCTGACAGGGCCCTGAAATGGCAGGGCACCACCCTGGCACTGCCCCTGTCCCACGGGGGTCCTGCCAAAGACACTTCCCAAGGTGTCAGTCCTGGGGACTGTGCCCTGGGGGTGACACACCCCAGTCAGGACTGCAGGGAAAGGCACCAGGGTTAACTCAGCCTCAAAACTTCACTCCCAAGAGCATGGAAAACCACAAACAACCCCATAGGGAATGGAAAGGAGCTTGCTGAGCCCTCAGGCTTGTCCCGTTTTTGCACCATTGTGACCAAAACTGGATCTGCTCCTCCATGTAATTTACCTACCACAGGGATAACCCTGATGGACAAGAAAGATCTTATCAGCTCCTGGTTTGCTCCCAAGCCTCCCCACACCCCTGCCATCCCCAGGACCTGGGCTTCTTCCATGCAATCCTTCACCACCCCACAAATCCAACAGATTTACACTGGATTGTCCAGCTGATGGATCACAGTGTCCGTGAGAAGTGGGCAGCCCTCAAAAAAGGCTGCTCCAATACTTGCTGCCCAAACACACAGCCAGTGGGTGCAGGGCCCAGGAGCAGGGGATTCTCCCCAGAGATGGCAGCAGGGATCTGTCCCTTTCCCTTCCCACAACAAGCCAACAGCACTGGTAGCTTATATCCTAAACAATGAGGAGTCAGAGGGTGTTTCTCCATGGGAACAGGCTCAGAGTCCTGCCTGTGACCTGTACCTGTTTATTTATATATACAAAGTTATCCAATATACATCTATGTACATTTATGTATTATAAAATATAATTTATATATATATATATATATAAAAATACATACACTGCACCCGTGGCCCTCTTCTCTTCTTGGCCTCAAATCACGTGCTGGTTGATGCTTTTCTGGCTCAGGCTGGTGTTTGTCCAGGAGCTGCTGTGACCACATCCATGATCCATGCCTGGGGCGTGCCGAGGCTCTAATCACCTCCATGGTAATTAGCACAGGGGATATCTGCTGTCCACAGTGGCTGGATCCAGCTCCCCACAGCCAGTGCCAGCTGGAGCAACCACCTCCAGCAGCAGCTTCATCTGGCAAAAAGGCTCTAAAGGCACAGAGAGGAGGAAAGGGAGGAGAAGGACGCAAACAGGAGACCCCACAGCTGATGGCAGGTTTTCTTCTCGCCCTGACACCTCTGTGGGCTCTTCCAGCCTGGAAAACCGGGCTCCTCCTTGGCCCCCAAGCCTTGTGACACCTGCTGGGTGTGTTGCCGTCCCCCTCCTCTTTTCTCGTCTCTTTTCCCCTCCCCTGAAGCCGGAGTTGTAGAATTCTCCCCCCGCAGGTTCAGGTGGAGGTGGAGCAGTGGGAGGGAGGCACAGCCAGCCCTTCCCACGGGCCTGGCGCCCGGGGATTGGGGCAGCGGCTGCGCCCGCCGAGGGCAGGGGCTGAACTGGGAGGAGAAATAGATAAACTATTAAAACAGAAAGGGAAAAAAAGGAGAAATTCCAAGCACTCATCTGGCCGGTCGGGTCGGCTCAAGCGGGAGGCGACGAGCAGGAAGCCTACGGCTGGGGAAGATCCAAAGGTAAATGCAGCTCTGTTCTGCTTTTCTTTCCGTGCTGAAGCCGCCCCAGATGAGGTCAGCAGGGTTTCACCTTCACCCCATTCCCTGTTCATTCCCGTTCTGGCTCTCCTTCGCTCTCCATCCCGCTTGCTGCCTCGGCACACCCACCCCACAACTCCCTGGCCAGGGTGCCTCCCTGCCCTCCCCACAGCCGTGTTCCAGGGAATGCCGTGCCCAGCCATCATTCTCCACCCCACAATGTCCACACGGTGCTCTGCCTCAAAGCCGGGGTGTCCCCAGGCCGGGATGTGGGAAATGGGAGCTGCTGCTGCCCGTTAGCCGGTGCTCCTCCCTCCCTGGCCCTCGGCAGCCCCAGCACCCACTCCCTGCCATCCAGCACTGCCCTTCCCTGCACCAAAGGGCTCCATGGGTTTTTTGGGGCCTCCCCACACCCCCTGGCCAGGCTGCAGCTCGTTGGAGCTTCCTTATTCCGACCATCAGAGGAAATGGCTTAGGAGTGACCCAGCCAGGAGCAGAGCTGGAGCATCACACCAGGCAGAGACAGCCCCACGCCACCCTCATGAGCATCTCCCACCCTTTCTCCATGTGAAGTCCAGCTGGGCTGGCTCATCTCCACCCTGTCCTCTTCCTTCCCTGGCCATGGAGAAACTCAGTTAATCCTTTAGGTATAAATCACTTCCAGCTGCTCAAGCTGAACACGTACTGGGCATCTCTCGTGTACCTTGATCCCTGGTTTCACCCCACGCCTGGCACTGGGCTGCTCCAGAGGGAAGCACCGTGCCTGCATCCCTGCTCCAAGCCAGGCAGCACCACAGACCTCCCCTTTCCATTCCACACCAACAAACACAGGGGGACCAACCCTGCTCCCTCCCAAAATCAGGGTGCAGCCAGGAGTGCTGAAACTCCACAGCAAAGAGGAGCCCTGGGAGAGGCTTTCACCCCTCCTGACTCCCAGAGTCAGTCTGGGAGTTAACCACGGAAACACAGGCACTGTGACATCCCTGAGACTGCCACCTCAGCCCCAGAACCCACATCAGGTGTGTGGGGACAGAGCCCAGCCTTGCCAGGCTCTGCTCCCTGTATCTGCCTCTTCCCACGGGGCCATCGCAGTGATGCCAGCTGGGGGGTCCCTCTGTGCCATCCCTGTGCTCCCCGCTTGCCTGGAATGCTGTGCCAATCCCTGGGCACAGCCACGGGGTAGCAACACACTGGGAACACGGCACCCGCCGGGGAGCTCTCCAGGTGGGAGCTGCGTTTCCATAAACAAACCAGACCGCTGGTAATTAGCAGGTTCAAGGGCATGTCAGGCTGGAGGCAGCTCTGCAGCCCAGGCAGGGGGTTGGCAGGTGAAGGAGGTACCACCGAGACCCCCAAATCTGGGGTTTCCCATGGCTGAGCTCATTTCCCCACCTTGGTTTTGGATCTGGGCTGAAGCCATATTTTTAAAATCCTGCAACCCCCGGCTGGTCATTAATCACCTCCCACGCGTAAATTCACGGTTGGGAAAGCCGGGCTGGGAGTCAGTGCAGGCAGGGCAGGTGACACAGTGGCCACCAGGCTGTGGGTGGGACGTGGCTTTGGCTTTACCACAGAGCAGCACCCACCACCCCCAGTGGGAATCTCTGCGGGGGCCGAGGGGGGTGGCCGTGCCCTGCCTGTGCCAGCACTCCCAGAGCTGCTCCCGCTGTGTCCCAGGCCCAGCCCGCCCTGTGGCAGAGGCGGGCGGACTTTGTCCCCCCCGGAAGCCGCCGTGTGAGATGCTGGCAGCGCCCGCGCCTGTCACCTGAGCAGCCATGGCAGGTAGGTGAGATCCCACTTCTCCCCTGTTCTCAGCTGGAAAGGATCCCTGTATAAGCTCAGCTGGGGGTCCTGCTCTGGTGTCACCTCTTAGGGTGCCAAGGGTCCTTCCCAGCCCCCAAAACCGGCTCGGCATGTTGCTCAACAGCCATGAACACCACTCGCTGCCAGACCCCCAAGGCAGAGCTTGTTTTTCTGGGATGGCTACAGCAGTCACGTGCCCTGGGGGTAGCTGGATCAGCTTTCCCATCCAAACCCCCTCCCCTCTGTGCCCCCAGACCTTTGCAGCGTGCCCCCCGAATTCCTGGTGCCGGCTGCCAACGAGACGCTGGACGTGGTGCTGGGGAGCCAGGTCGAGCTGAACTGCACCGTGCGCTGGGCGGGCACGGAGCACTGCCAGCCCATTCCCACCTGGAGCAAGGATGGGCAGTGGCTGGGCAGCGGGAGCAGCCAGGACACTGTCTGGTAAGGAGCCTGCCCTGGGGACATCCATCTATCCGCTTTTGGGGTGTGTCACCACACGGCCTGACCCACAGCATCCCCCATGTCCTGTCAGGTCTGGCCAAAACTCCTCGGAGCAGCTCCTGGCCAGCGTCCTGCAGCTCAACCTCACCCACGATGCCGATTTCGGGGTGTTTGCCTGCTGGATCAGCAATGCCACGGCCACCTTCACCCTGCGGCGAGCCGGTAGGGACTGCTGGTGGCAGGGAGGGGGCATGCCACGGAGAGCCCAGGCGCACAGGGGGATTGAGGAGAGTGATAGGGGCTCTGCTGCTTCTCCCACAACCTGCACCAAACCCAGCTATGCTGCTCACTGTGCCCTTCCTGTCCTGGCAGAGGCAGTGGGGCACGTGCCAGCGGTGCTGGCAGCCCTCCTGGTCCTGGTGCTCCTGGTGCTCCTGGCTGTGCTCTACGTCCGGTGCCGCCTGAACGCGCTCCTCTGGTACCGGGACCGCTACGGAGAGCTGGAGATCAACGGTGAGCCAAAGGTGTTCCCACTCACACTCACTCTGAGTCTGGGGGCTCACACAGCCCTTCCCATGTTATCCCTGCTCCGTGGATCTCCCCAGATGGGAAGCTCTACGATGCCTACGTCTCCCACGCCACTGCCCCCGATGACCGGAAGTTCATCCACTTCATCATGAAGCCGCAGCTGGAAAACCGCCACGGCTACAAGCTCTTCCTGGACGAGCAGAA